TGCAGTTTTCAATGGATATAAATAAAGTGTTTGTATACTAGTTTATTTTATTGATAAAAAATAATGACAAAAGTGCTAATAAAACTAATGATAAATATTTTCAACAGTGCCAGATTTAATAGCAATTATTAAAAAGATCGTCAATAACATTAAAAATGACATGTTAGAAAAAGTTTTTACGAGTTTTCGTAAAAGAATAGAATTTTTGTTCAAATGATGCACACTTCAAAAATATTGATTATGAAATATTGATTATTTACATATGTGATTATTAGTACCTTTTTCATTACTTTTTTCAATAAAATAAACTGGTATACAAGCACTTTATTTATATCCATTAAAAGCTGCAGACTTTCCTCTTTCTAACACAATTTTTGTTTTCTCAATAACTACATACAAAAAATGACAGCTGATTGACAGTTTCAGCAATTTCCTATGGGACACTGTATATTTGAAAAAAAATTACTTTACATATTATTTTAACAAAATGGCAAGTATGTTTAATAAAACTGCCCATTGACTTAGCCTAGATTCATGTATCAACGTAAATGACGTTGACTCTTAAGGTTTGTTTTCTATTCCTGCACTGGCTGAACTGTGCACGAATAGAAAAGCCTTTAATGACCCGATGACAATAGTTGTCACAGTGTTCCGCCGCTATTCATTGAGAAACTGCTCATTAGACGGTCGACGTGTTTATGTGTGTGACGTGATAAAAAAAGCCAAATGTATTAATACATTACAAGCAGACTGACGTGAACGAGCTTAAATATTATTTAAAAAATCACGCTAGCCACTTCTAAGCTTCCCTCGTTCAAACGTTTATCCCTTCGATTACAATGTGCATTGTACTATATTTGTTATTATAAAGGAAATAATAATATCAAATATTCATTCTGCTTTAAACTCTACAATGGGCTCCAAAAGCATGATTATAAACTCGCGCATTTAATGACATTTTTAATAATAGACAAAATATATATTTTTAAATCTCTGCTTTCATATTATTTATATGTTTCATTCTAAAGATGTATTAAAATTTTTTGTACAATTTAATTAATTTTATGTATATTTGTTATTATAAAGGAAATAATAATATCAAATATTCATTGTGCTTTAAACTTTTATAATGGGCTTCAAAATAATCGTGATTATAAACTCGCGCATTCAATGCAATTTTTAATAATATATAAAAATACATATTTTTAAATATCTCTGCTTTTATATTATTTGTTCCATTCTAAAGATGTATTAAAATTTTAATATAGTTTATAACAATATATATATATATAAAGTATATTTAAACAAATAAATATTTAACTGATTAATGAATTTTTTAAAAATAAATTATATTGAAAGAGAACATCGTCTCAATTAACTATTTGTCATTCGTAAAAAGAGATCGACTTGAGATAATTTTTTAAAAATAATTCCCAGGTATTTCATCGAGCTCCTATAGAGAGATCGCAATTGGCGGGGATGAAATTGACAAATTCTCGTCAGTTCATGACACCGCTGTTCCGCGCGGAGCAAACTCGTCGAGAGGACATAAGAGACAGAGAAAAGATATGGGAACGAAGCGCGACCAAGAAGTGCGACCTCATCGTAAAGCGTTACGTAACACCGATAGCGCCATTCGCGCCCCACGCTTCTGACAGCTCGGACTTCAAGAGCCCGCGCGCGTCTTATCGCGCCGCCGTGTCGCGCCGGATTCATATACATAAATGTCGCCAAGGGCGTCCGCAGGTGGGGGCAAGAAGGGGCAAATGAAGAGCAAATGCTTCATTTTTTAATTTTTTTTATTTTTATTTCTTATATTAAATATGCAAATAAATTCCATTGTTTATTCAAAAGAAGAGCAAATGTTTCATTTTTTTAAATGATTTCAATGGAGTTTTGCCTCTTGGAATCATTAAAAAAATTAAGCATTTGCTCTTCTTTTGAATAAAAAATAGAATTTATTTACATATTTAATATAAAAAAATAAAAATAAAAAAATTAAATTTAAAAAAAATTAAAAAATAAGAAAAAAAAATTTAATCGTGCTCCCTCATGGAAAAAATCCTGCAGACGCCCATGTACGTCGTTCAAGGTTCGCGAAATATCGTGAGAGGCGAAGGAACGATGGGACAGAGTCGAACGCGAACCAGAGAGATAAAAATCAGTTTAATTTTTTTCTTCTTCCTCTCTTCTTTTTTCCCTCCCGATAACAATTATTATTGCGCGTTACGCAACTCTTCCTCTCTCGGCAGTAGCATTCGTGCTACTGGCCAATGACCAGGGGCTAGATAACGCGCATACGTGCGACCCACTTACAGACTTGCTAATCTTGGACTATAACTCGAACTAGATTCCTCCGAGTTACCGTCCTCCTTCTTCTCCTTCTGCTCCTTCTCCTCTATTTTTTCCTCCTCTTCGTCTCCTTTTTTTATGATGATTTTGCACCACGAAAATCTTTTATTGCGCGCGCGCGCATTTATTTCTCGCCCCTTCATCTCGTAAAATAATTAAAAGAATTTCGTAATCTCGACGCGAAACGACATCTCGAAGAAGTTCAAAAAAATTGTGAATATCTTCTTCGTAAAATACATTATTTTAAGTATACTAGAAATATTTCGAAAAACAAGGCTTTTGACATTTGAAAATATATTGCAAGGCTTTGACATTTGAAAATATATTGTATATTAATATATTATTATATTTCGATAAGCAACATGGATGTTTTATAAAAAATGCGCTGCACCTGAACATTTTTTTTAGAAAATCTAACAATGATTTCAAAACGAACCTAATCAAAAGGGCGGGAAAATTAATCCGCGAATAAATCATATAATTGCTAAGAAATAGTCGAGGATAATTAATTTATTTTGTTTCTTTCTTTCGTCTCTTTCCCTTTCTCTTATAAGAATGATATATCTAAAATATATTTAAAATTAATATATTTAAAATGATATAAATATATACTTATCTTATTTTAAATACGAAAACTATAAAGAAGGACGACTGAAACCGCAAATAGATTTATCGTGTCATGAGATAGTTAACTTTGTTAAAATTTCTGGAAAATATTCTTCCGGCTCTGTGTCTACGTAATGGATACTAAATAAACTCAATAAAGATAGAGAAAGAGAAACTTGGCTGTCGACATGAATAGAATCAGATATAAAAGACAAACATGAATCGAATACGTAAGCGAAGACGATCCAATTGCATTATAATGGTAATTTATCCCGATGTGCATCGTTATATCGGCTATGCATTTTTTAGAAAACCCAAGATGTTTTTTCCTTCCACGACATCTAAATGAATAATTCTATGACAATCGAATATAAATTTCTGAAAATTTTCAGAAATTAAAAAAAATCTTTTTTTATAAAAATTATCAATTATAATGTGTGCGTGTGTGTGAAAATTGCCATTTCTAAATTTTTTATTATAAGTATTTATAATTTATCACGAGATTAATAATTTGGAGGGATGAAATTGGAGAAAATGTCACTCTTGTGGTGAACTTTTAATGGACTTAACTTGACAATCCATAATAGATACAAAGAAAGGAGAAAAAATATAAAAAAAGCAAAAGTGTTTAAGTCAAATATTTATTATAAAAGTCTCTGAAAAAAAAATCTTATAAAAATAAATCATCAGATTGATAGAAAAATATCTGTCAAACTGAAATAAATAATATAAAGAAACATTTTCTCGCTTAAAAGCTCAAAATGATCAACAACAAAAAAATGTAAATTTTTTTTGTAACATGTTGAACATTTTTCATGCTGACAGATGTCAGCGTCAGAAATCCAGTGGCTAAAAGTGTAAATTGTTATTTTTATTTTTCAGGTGAAAATGCAACCTTAAAAGTTTACTTGCAAAAAATATTTTGCATATGTCATGCACAAATTTGAATTTATCCCACATATGTGAATATGTATTCTTAAATCTCCAAAAAATATATAATTGTATTGTCATATTCTTCTCAGAGAAAACAAACTGTCAATGAGCTTAAATCTATGCTTGTAACCAAAATTGTAACACTATGCAAAAACGAAACATGCGTAAAATCGCGAATATATATATATATCTTTCGTTTAGCGGAATTCGCGCGCTAAACAAAAAAGAAAAAGGAAACGAAAGAATTAGTCTCGTCTACGAAAATATCGACGACGCTTTTTCTTTGCCACATAGGCCGTACGAAAAAAGAAACGAAATGAAAGAAGAAATGACAGATCCATACACACACACATGCACACACACCCACACATACATGCGAGTTATTCGCTTAGGACAGACCATTTTACTTTTTTCAAGGCGTTTACAAACACGTGCTTCCCGCGCAAAATTACCCTGTCAATGACAATTTAATCGAGGAGAGGGTGTCTCGAGGGAGGATAGAAACAGCAGACGCGGAGAGACAGAGAGGGATGCCGAAATATATCTCTGTGAACGTCAAGCGAGCGGCGCGTGACAGAAAGACTCCGACTCGAAATTTGACAGTTGGCTGTCGGGAAAGTATACATATGTATATAATGTGTGCCCGTTTCCTTGCAGTGAGCCGAGTAAGCCCCGTAGATGCTGAGCCGGGTCGGCCCGGCTGTGCAGCGCAGAGCGCAGGGAACCCGCGCCACTCCGAGACCACGTGCCTCTAATGCCATCGCATTGGCTGAATTGGCTCGTTCGGCGCGGTGGCGTCCCATGACAGAAGCCAGCGAGTCACGGCGCTCTGACATGTGCTCTGAACCGCGCCAAGGACCGGTGCATGCTTACGCGAGATATTCTATGCTATGATATTTTTAAAAAATCGTCCTTCTGGACGTGGACTCACCGATGCGATCCATTACGCCGGCAAAATCGGGTCTAAAATCCAAGTATGGTCGACCGTTGTTTACGATCGTCGGACAGATGGTCGGAAGAGGGGGAGAGAGAGAGAGAGCGCGAACGAGCTGTCAAAGAGAATTTTATCGGTCAAAAGTCAACGAATGTCCGGAGCTCGCCGAGCCGTCGTCGTCGTTCCCGTCGTCCTGTCATCCACGAGACGATCTCCAGATGCCCGGACGCGAAAAATCAGCCACGTGCGTGAATTTGCGAAAAACGTGCGAATTATTTCCCTCGACGTTACGATGCGTCCATGCGGCGTGGTTGGCTCATGCCCGTGCTCTTTTCGTCTCCCGCGTCTTCTTTCGCGCGGCACGAAAGTGGCGACGACGAGAACGGCGACGACGATGCGGCTGCCGTGACGGGCGGCTGGCAAAATAAAGTAATATTACACACGCGACAGCACTCACCGGCGTTTAATAAAGTTCTCCGCAATCCGTGTCCCACGATTTCCTGCACCGATGCGTCGTTGTCGGTCTCCACGCCGCGTCCCTTCTCGCCACTGACAGATACAGATAAACACAGACTTCTGAATTGACAGTTCAGGCAGTTGCGCAGGTAACTTCTTTCGGCGTGGCGGCAAGCTTTCAGCGGCTTTAACAGCGGCTCGCAGCACCACCTGTCGCGGACAAAAAGAATAACAACGCCGCAGAGTCACTCGTGTCGATAAAACAGCCGGCGAAAAATCACATTTGTCAAAATATAACCTTCCTTCTCGAACGAATATAAAAATATATTTTTCCATTGCAAAGCGATATCGAAGCGCGTAATAAATTTATTTCTATTTTAATTTTTTATCGATAAAATTATGAGGAAGAATATGAATACTCGAATCAACGGGACAAATGTCATTCTGGTGCCGTATCAAGAGAAGCATGTCACAAAGTTTGTCATTACATATAATTTTCTGTTCTTTAAACGTGCTTTATAATATTAGATAAAAATAAAATATAATATATATATAGTATTTTTTTATATTGTATAATTATATTTATATTTATTATATAATAAATATAATATATAAATAAAATATATAATATATAAAATATATATATAATTTTTATACTACACGTTAAATTCGTCGATAATTTATGTGAAATTTATTTTAGGTATCACGAGTGGATGAAGAATCCAACGCTGCAATACTTGACAGGCTCTGAACCGTTAACTTTGGAAGAAGAGTTTGAAATGCAGAAGCGATGGCTCGAGGACGAAGATAGTAATATTATTCGTTAGTTTCGTTGTTTATTATGTACCAAGTAACTATAGCTTCAAGCTGTTGCAGAGTGTACCTTCATTATTCTGGATAAATGCGTCTTCTTGTCCACTGGAAGTGAAACAGGTACATCAATGTCAGGTTGCGCCAAGACTACTATATGTATCTTCTTCTTAGAATAATCCGTTTCAGATGCCATGATAGGAGACACGAATTTATTCTTCAATGATGCACAAGAACCACATATTGCTGAAATAGAGATTATGATAGCTGATGAAGCAAGTCGAGGCAAAAAGAGAGGCTGGGAGTCTATTATTCTTATGATGCGTTATGGTAATTTAAATTTGATAGTAACGACTAGTGTCAACATTCCTTTCTTTATATTAATTTCTATTTATTTTGTAATAGGCTTTGAAACATTGAATATTACAAATTTTGCGCCAAAATAAAATCAGACAATGTAATGAGCATAAAGATGTTTGAGAAGCTCGGTTTTCAAGAAGTAAGTTGAATGGAAATTGTTTCTTAATTGCACATTTACATTAATATTTCATTACTATATGCTGAATTTAGGTAGAAAAAAGCGAAATTTTCCGGGAAATCACTCTCGAAAAGGAAGCATCCTCTGACTGGATGAGCTGGTTATGTCATTCTGAATTGCAATCAGTTATACTTAATTCACATTGACCTACTGTTAAAATTGTTGCACTATGTAATTAATTATTAATATATTTTTTTAATTGTATGATGTGTATGTAATTTATTATACATATGTATATGTAAATAAAAACATTTTGATAATATAAAATACTCTAATGTACGTCTTTGTTCCTTCTCCCTACAATGTAGAATAGGGACTTGGTAGAACCACTGGATGTTGATACAACGTAATTGACGTACTTAAATCGTGATTAAGCATGATTGATTCTAAATGGTTAGCCAGCTTCTACACGCCAGTTTCAGCATCACTTTCAAAGTGATACTATCCATTCAAGCAAGTCAGTTACAACAGTAGTAGTATCTATTGTATATTTATCTTACCTGATAACGCATTTTGAAAACGTGAAGCAAACGATAAGACTTGTGACTAGCAAAATAAAGGTAGATATGTCGCTGACGAAAATTCTTCGAATGACGAATAGTGTTATGCAGAAGAGACCGTTGCTTTGCAACTCGGTGATCTATGGTTCGTTCTTCACGAGCGCCGAGCTCATTCGACAGAATTTCAGTAATACATCCAAGGTGAAATATACATTTGGATTTTTTGTCCCAAGATAATATACGAATGTATAGAATTATTTTGCATCATGTTCACAAGTGGATTGTAATTGTGTGTAGCCAATCGTCGAAAAGCCTAAAAATTCCGCGGATACCAAGGGACCAATATTAATACAGATACAAAGACTTTGTGAAACGTTGAATCTCGTAGATGAAGATACTTCGATGCAATCGACGAATTATAATTGGCCTCAATTGAAGAGATGCGCAATCTATGGTTGCTTCTTGGCTGGACCAATATTATATAAATGGTATTTCGATCACTGAATGAATGCAAAGTGTCTATTTTTCCTTCTTAATGTGTTTACGAATTAATATGAATGTTATTAACGGCAGGTACAAATGGCTTGATACATTCTATAGCGGAACATCCACAAGGATTGTTCTAACAAAACTCTTTGCGGATCAATTTATCTTCACACCACCGTTAATTATGTTTTTTTTCATCAGTTCGTATCTTCTTGTGTGTTTTGCACACAATTCAATACCGATATATCTAAATTTTATGCATTTTATAATTTATGTATATAAATTGTAATTGGATCCATAAATTTTTCAGGTATGAGTTTAATGGAAGCTAAATCTGATATTCTTCAAGAATGCAAAATCAAGTTTCTGCACACTTTTCAGGTTTGTTTCCAAAGTCGAGTCGGAAGAATTATATGTAATTTTTGTTTTGTTCTTTCAGACTTCATGTGGATTTTGGCTACCGGTACAACTTGTAAATTTTATGCTAGTTCCATCGTCTTTACGAGTGACGTACGTCAGTATCGCTTCCTTCTGCTGGATCAATATTCTTTGTTACTTAAAAAACGTACCTGTTGCTGAATACAAGCAGACAGAATAAAATATTGAGAATTTGCATTATGTACCTGAAGAAGTAAATAAGACTTATTTATGAGATTGGCTACTTATTGATTTCTTTCGACCTGATATTATTGTGCAATGAAATCATTCCAAGAGATATCAGAATAATATAATTTAATGCACAATTAGCATATGTAGACAATTTATTGTTTGGCATTTATTTTCGAAAATATTTACAGGAACACAGCGTGTTGCATTGGGACTGAGTATAGTTATCTTTCTTCAAAAAATAATGAGAGTAAAAAGTGCTAGGCCCTCAGAATTTATTATTTATGTACAGAGTGTATCATTGTATCACTTGCGGCCTTATATCAATGAAAGATGATTTCAACAAACTAGCTGAGAAATATAGATACAAAAAAAAAAAGAAAAGAAAATATTATGAACATTGTTGGGTGATCTTTGAAATATTTTCTATTATAAGCCAGCCTTGTCATTCATATATTGTTCTGTAATAGAATTGAATTAAAGTTTTGGAAGAAAATTTCTTTCACATTCTGAATGTAGTCAGAGACAAGTATCACACGCAATATTATTGCTAAGTAAAAATTCCTGTTCATGTCGTTATGATACTGTCTGCTTACTCGACGACACAAGCTTGGCTTTCAACACAAGAGTGTTTCTCGACGAGCAATTGGTGCTTCAAGTTTTATATATCCACGTTTTTTCTTCTTTGAGAGCAGTCTTGTGTATGTCTCTATATAAACTACGTTACCGTGCGCAGATATACGAGTAAATACAGTCGACAGCAACAACACAAGTAAATAAAGCCCGGTGCTGTCGCACGTGTCCTTGCGCGTGTGCTGAGTCATATATTTGTCTATTTCGATAATACGATTCGATTGTACGGATTATCGATGAACAATTAAGAAAGACGTCTAAGAGGAATCCAACCCTATCTCGTGGACGAAAATATATTCATTGTTCCACTGGCTGTGCGCTTTCTTACGAGTCGCGCCGCTACTATAAATAAAAATTCACATATATATATATGTATATATGTATGTGATTCTCTCACCTGTACTTAGATTTACTCACCGGTCGCGTCCTGTGGCGTTAATGGTTTATCGATCACCTTTTGAATCACATGCATCCACTGCAATCTGTCATCATCACTTTGCGCAGAAAGCAAATAAGTCCTATCGGGTGTCTCGAGTGTAAACGAAAATCCTTGGTCTCTAGCACCCTGTGGTACACCGACCTTTACCGCAAATCCTTCCGAACTGTGTCCTAGGAAGATTTCACCCTTTGGATGCGCGTCCTTATAAGATAAAGAAAAGAAGTTAGCAATGTGTAGATCAATCGAGAAATAATACGAGAAATAAAATAGAGGACAAACCATGGGATCATCGTGATACATGAGTTTTCTGCCATCCAAGGTAAACCATCTTTTTTTGTAAGCGTCTGTATGTCTTGGGCCGGTTTTCCATAGGAAACCTTCACGTGGAAAATCTCTCGTGAGTTGCGACAATAATTCGTTTTCACTCGACCCCGGATACGCCACCTGTAAGCGATGCAGTTTCGCGCATCTAATCGCGAGGTACCAATTCGTGATTACTTCCGGGTCTTCGTGATACACATAGATATGTCTCGTTGTACCATCCTTCATAAAAGACAGCTGAAGACTATTTTGATTGCCAGTTTTAGGCGGTGCAAATGCCACATTCAATTCCGATATCCTTAACACAGCTTTGGGTTCCTTGAAACAAATAGGAAATTATGTTATCAACTTGTATATTTTTTTATTCAGATCTCATCTATCTCACTTAAATCACCTTATTTTCTTTAACATGATACTTGAGTGTATCCTCAGCCTCGCAGAGTACAAATTTTCGTGGATGATAACGTGAATCTTCCTTTCCACGTTTCATTAAAAATCCTTCCATAAATCCTGACACGTAGTGATTTTGTCGTTCGGGATGACAAAACTCTTCCCTCTCATATTTCGCTCGTATCCACTGTTCGACTAAAACTCTAACAATTTTCCAAAATTAGTCTCTACCAACACAGACACTTTAACGTTAGATTATTGGTAGAAACATACGATTTAATATGTTTAACTGTAATCTATCACTGTTAGCCATGATAAGGCGAATAATAATGTCGTCAGATAAACGAACTAAAACAGGAAAACCACAAATAGCACTTGATAACTCACTGTGGGGCATCTGGGCTTGGTCTACGATAGCAAGAAGGTACACGTTCCTCATAATGCAGTCTCGCCGCGGTATTACCCACTTCGTGTATCCTATTCACTTGGGAATCTTCCCACCTATCTAACTTTAAGTGCTTCACCTTCGATATATGTGCTCCCATAGATCTGTGTACGCCGGCACATCGTGTGCAAACGAATATACCTATGTTGTAAGACGCCCATTCTGGATCTGAAATATTCAATGACAGTAAAATCAGTAAAACAATAATAAGATTGTAATGTATGATAAAGCAAGAAACAAAGAAAAGAGAGAAGCTATCACATCCGTTCTCGAAAATCAAAGAGATCGCTATCGTTCCTACTAAAGGATGTCACTTATCGCGAGCGAGATTAAAGATTCGCTCGAATGTCGTAACGTGAAAGTTGCAAAACACATCGAATTAATTCGAGGCGTCATTTCGCGAATCGCGCGATCAATCCGCGAGTTTAATCGTTCGCGCGATTACACGATTGTAATAGCTAAATATCGCGATAAAAACAAACACGTCTCTCGAGGAGCGGAATTGCGCGACGTTTCCTAGGTTATATCGAACGTACGCGAATTTTCGCGCGTCTCGCTCGTCCACGAAGGCCGAGGTTAAATGGATCCTTGTTACTGGACGCACTCACTCTTGGCCCCACAGTCCGCACACACGTTGTTCCCAGACTTTTTCAGGAGTTCCGCCAACAACTTCTCGTTCGTGTCCGCCATCTTAAAACATTGACATACGACGATGCTCATACACCGTGGACGAACGCGGCTCCTCCTTTTTCCGATTATTTTTTCAGATATATACAGCGACGACCATAGAATAGAAAATATATAGATGGAGCATTTGTTCGCTTTATTTGCACCTTCTGCACTCTAAGCCTTCTCTTTTTCTTCAATTTGAATTCATTATATGATTTTTTCGACTATCGATAAAGCATGATTTTTTTCTTTAATTTATAAATATATGTATATATGTTATTATTAAAATATTTTCACACACATGTAGATGACACTTTGTGACACATATTTTTGATAAGAAAATGATTTGTCAAAACATCAGATAGAGAGATAGAGAGAGAGAGAGAGAGAGAGAGAGAGAGAGAGAGAGAAATATACTTCTCTCTCGCTTCACCATGCTGCGCACTGGGAGATGATGGAGAGAGACTGACGTGCGTCAGCGCGCGCAGCTGTTCCCCCACTCCGCTTTCTACTCTATCACGTGACGCGTGACGTACCGCATACCAGCGCCGCCTGACGGTCAAAGTCAATTCAAAGTCGCACGTATCAAGACGCACTCTCTCTCTCTCTTCTCGCCACGATAATTAGGTAATGTACGAAAAATTCTTTAATTAAAGCAGTATTGTACGGTGACATTAAATGCATTGAAGCATGCGGAGAATACTTTGATCAAAGCAATATTACGACTCGTAAGCAAGTGACAGGTGTAGTGTTTCGCGTGCAGCGACAACGAGACATCCCGTGTTATAGGCTACGTTCGTTTTAGACGCTTTCAGCGGTATAAACATCTTTTTACTTCTGTCTTTGTTTGATATTCGATATACAACGAAGACAGAATTAAGATGCTTATAGCGCTGAAAGTGTCAAAGCGAAATATATATTTTAACTGTACGTATATGACGATCCTACATATACATTTCTTCCCGAAGAATACATCATCTGTTTATACATATTTGTGCAAATAATGCACCTTCGCGAAATAAATGATATCAATATCCTTGTCACAAACTTTGCACGCACATCTCTTTGCGCGAGTTTCTGTTTCCAATTCGCTCTTATGGAAATTTAAATGCGCGCGTGATTTAAATATGCATTTGGCCGGCATCATTTTGTATAATTACATATGTAATATATATCTATATATGTATGTAAGTCCGCAGTCTAGAGAATATCTAGTCATTGGCTAATCTGAACAGCCAATTTCACGTTGCACGAAAAAATCTTCAAGAATCTAATTTCCTATCACGAATATTTATAAATAATTATATTTATCGTGACAATTGAAACGAAAGAAATTTAAATCCGGGACATTTATGTAGACAATATAAAAAGGTAGAAGATGTTTTTTACAAATGCAAACTAAATTATTGTTTACGCCTACATTTAGAGGTTACATCAATAGAGTTACATATGTCAGTAAACATACGATGACACGTGCACGTGTGTGCATCTGTTGCAAATATTGCGTAATTAAAACACGTTGCGTCAGACATGTGAATGTTTTAGTATCTTTGCTCCGAAGAATATTGTATCTCGATATTGATCTACCAATGATTCTTTCAAGGTTACCAAAAAATGACGAATTATTAAAGAAATTGTTGGTGCTTGGCAAACCAGGACAGAAAATCTGCGACTCATCGCGAATATGTTCACACCACTTTGAGGAAGATGGAGGTACAGCATAATCAGAGGTAAATAATTTTTAAAACAAGATGCGATGCTATCTCTTCATCTGAACGAGGAGAGCAAGGATGATCAGATCCCTGACGATAGAAACATGGTGGAAACTATGGAAAACGAATCGTTAAATATCACAGTATCACAAGTAGGCGCTGGAAAAGACAGTCAGATGTCTTGTATCACTGGAACGAAAGTACAAGATACTGCTGAAGATACCTGCAATAGTACTGAATTTGTTCCTCATCATGAATGCCTTGATGAAACACAAGTGCCTGAAAGGTAAGCAATATAATGATACTTTTATATAGTATCTAAGAGAATATATGTCACATTGAACATATTTTTTTTCAGACTATCAACTTCATTAGGCTCTTCTTCGAATGAACCGAAGAAAAGCAAGAGACATCTTTATGACGTCCGATGGGAGGAAATCTCTACCTCTCCAGTGCAAGCTAAAATTTATTGGGAAGTAGCAATTAAGAAAATTACACGACAAAAGGTAATTTTGAGAACTTTACGACAAAAAGTCAAAAGGTTAAAAAAGACAATTTTAGAATTAAGGACCCGCGTAAAACACGTAGCGAATAGCGATTCCTAGTAATTATAATATTGTGTAATTCGTAAGAGTATGTCAATATTGTCTGGACAAATATATACATCATATATATAAGCTGTATATAATTTGTATACATATATAGATTGCACATGTGGTACAAGTAAACTGCTTTTTTCTTATTTTTTTATATATTTTATTTTTTCCCTTTAAAGTTAAATATGAATATTATACATTGCATAATATATAGCTTAATTATGCATATATATGTTATATATTATCTATATATATATATATATATTACACTCATTGAACTTGAAATATAGAAAGTGTAAACGGTGCAGATAGAGTTTCTGTTCGAAAATCACTAAATTTCTAGGGATATTCTACTGAGAATATATATGTATAAAAAATTTATATATTTATATTGGATTTAATTAATTATTTTAATTACGATTGTAAAAAATAGGATCAGTATTACGTCCCCATGAAAAACATGGTTACAATCATTATGCATCTTGGAAATAGTTTTCGTCATTTCCTGCTAGGGACTATATTTAGCTCTCTTATATTGCGATATACAATCCAAAGAGCGCTTGCGAGAAAGCATTTATCAGTCCATAAATATAAAATAAAAAAATGTATAATACTAATTTATTCGAAAATAGAGAAAGAAAATGTGCGTGTTTTGTCTTATTTAAAATTTATAATACTTTGTAATTTGCAAATTTTTGGAATATTTTATAAGTACATATTTATTATGTATATAAAATATTATAAACACACTCTTTCATTTACAAAATTTCTTTTATGTTAAACAAAGTAGAAAGAATATAATCAAAGGGTCTACTGCTTGTTAAAAAATCTATAGGAATCTGTAATTTTCGTGCTACCGTTTTACTTGAAAAAATCAGGGAATTCTTTGATGAAACTTTTACAATTCAACAAATTTTTTAAATTATTTTGTTTGTGATTATTGTCTTTATATTATAAGCAGTCGGAAATTCATTGATTAAATTTTAATAATCAATACAGTGATATGGCCACATATCACTGTTCTATTTTTTTTCTTACAAGATTTGAGTAGACATTCTAGTTAGATATTTAATGAATTAATATAAATTAATACATATATATTATATATAAATAAACAAGATGCATATTGTTTATGAGTACTATATGTCTTTTTAATATTTATATAGATGTTTCATGTTGAATTTTTAATCGTTGATCAACATTTTGTCATTGCTCCGCATCAGTTCTATGATTCCGATTTGAATCTGAACTACTATAAACTCGAAAATGTTTGCCGATAATCTATCGATGACAAAGTGTGTCAGACGAGCATGAAACAGAGACAACACAAACACACCGGGTGACTTGTGATTAATGTTTTTGCAGACGGCCGTTGTCGAGGACGAGCCCATGGGGAGCTCTCACTGTTTTGTAGCCGACCATTTGCCACTCACCCTCTGGACATTCGTTACGAGTTGTTGGGCGCTTCGATTGCTATCACCTTTGGATTATTCGGAGATGGTATTGCCACTATCGATTTTATGCAAAATTTATAAACGTGACAATTTTATCGAACGATTCTCCACGCCTTGACGTTTATTATTCAGATTCAAAATATTAAAATATAAATATTCAAGCCCGAATCATCCCTTCAGGAATTCAAAATTCAAGAAATTATATTATTGAATAATTATGAAATTATTTGACAAAATAATTCTTTAAGTTTCTATTAAAAAAAAAATCAAATTTAATTTCGTCGATGAATCTGTCATTAGGGTCTCCCTGACTAAGACAAGACCCTCTGGAACAACAGGGTTTGTCACTGTTGCGACAATAGGGAAATCGAAAACTTTCGCACGCACCCTCGAATTCAGGGATGCTAATTGGTGGGTGGTTAGCCCGTAGCCACCGGCAAGTTTTCCAAGATTTATGAGCGCTGCGGCTAAAGGCGTGAATAAGCCCGGGTCACAGCCCCGGGAAGGGTAGCGCAAGATTTTGAATTAAATGTCAACCGCACGGATGAGACACGAAACTAACGTCTCGCCACGATGTCTGGGAATAACGATGCCGCCACAACTTCAAGCATTATTTCCACCCGGTATAATAATTTAATGTTTTGCGATCTCCCAATCGTCAAATATAGACGGAATTTATATACAAAAGATCTCTTTAAAATTGTAGATCCAGCCACTGGATGATGATTTGGACACAAAATCTAGGCATTAAAAGAGAAAGGACCGTCTGAATGTGAAGAGATTCGCTGATGATGTTTAAAGAGAGACCCGCTTCCGAAAATTCAAAGCTGTCTAGAAGAAATAAAAGGTAGAGTTTTTGTTCCCATAATTTTGTTTGACGAAATCTGAATATTTGAAGAATTAAGATAACGCAGGATTTAAAAAAAAATGTACAATTATGTAATCTATTATCTTGTTTTTTTATAATTCTCTGATTAAAATTAATCGCGTTAGGTAGCTTGTCTGGTTTCTAATGAACCCTGCGTGTCCGACGTGCGTACGAAAATTACAACTAAATTGCAAAACACGGGATTTCGTCGTAATTATCACTTGTTGTAGCCCCGACCGTGTCGTCTATCGCGCTCGAGCGAATCTCATGTTGGTCCCCATACACGCACCCGTATACACGTTAGCCGTAAAGTATGAAAAATGATGTATCTTGCGTGAGGGCTTAATGGTCCATCCCCTTTTTCCCACGCACGCTACTCGTCGCGGGGCGAATCGTTTCGAAAAATAACGATACTATCGGTAAATATATTCTTCGCGGATAAAGCTTTATCGCGAGTCGTTGAGGGTGGTTTTTGACGGGAAAAATCTAAATAAACTAGAAATCTGAAAATCAACCTTTCATGATATTCTCCCCTCGAGTATATATCGCGAAAAACTCTTCTACTCTTCATATTTGTTTAAAAAATTCTATAAATATATTTATACATATATACGTATAATGTGTCTATAATAAATGTTATGTGTATTTCCACTCGGCGGCGAAAACAGGAACCACCCTCGAAAAGAAATAAGAAGGACGAAGAAGAGCTATAAATTCTGGGCGACGAAACTCGGCAAGATGCAAAGACCGTGGGGCAAGTGCAATGAAAGTGCCATTTGGTACAGCACACACGACGCTCACCCCCTTCTACCCCTCTACGACTGGCACGTGCCTCGAATATAATTTATTGCAGTTGGAATTTTGTGGGGTGTCCCGCGAATCCCCCCTGCGTGCACCCTTTGTACCTAGCGACGGGTACAAGCTACTTTTGTTGTCCGCGCTCGATATACCAGAATATCCCGCCAATGATGACGATGATGATCGGGTTCGAGCACTCGAGAGAGAATTCATTCGTCGTTTTATTCTCATGGAGAATAGGCAAAGAATTGGAGACGCAGAAATCATTTAATTAATATTAATATTAAATTATTAATAACAATAATATAGTGTTTATTTAAAACGTCAAATGCTTTTATTACGAAATTGTATTGAAAATTTTCTTTATTTAAAATATAATTAGAGAAAGGGAAAAATATTCTTATACGCATTTGATAAAAAATTGCTTCAAAATAATTCAATTCATTTGAGAATATAATTAAATCTAAAAATCGATGGGATAATTATCGCCCTGCTTTCCTTCTAATGTTAGTAATTACGAAAATTATTCGCCTCTGTTCTCGATCGCTCGGTCACAAATACTAGACCGAGACCCGTGTGTTTCCTTCATCCGTTCAATACCGCGTTTTCCGGCGTCTCCCTAACGAGCCTGTTCTCCTTTTTTCTCTCTTCCCTCTCTCTCTCTCTCTCTCGCGCGCGTGACAACCCTCCCGGTGGTTGACAGAAGGAACGCTTCTGTCGCGGGCGACGATATATCGACTTCATACGTGTCGCACTTGGAAATCGCGGTGGTTTTTCAGAGAGGAGAGTCCCAATAATTCGGATCCCGTATTTTGCCGTGAGCGCCACTCGCGGGAGCGAGAGAATCCCGGCTACCCTCATCGCCAAAACAACCACCCTCGCGTACGTGAGCGGGATGAGCAAGCGGGAGAGCGGGAGCGAGAATCCCAAGTTTCGAGTTCGTGAAAAGTTCCAACGGTTTCGTTCTCGTCCCTTCGCACTCTTTCCTCGGATTCCCTTTTTTTTTTTTCAGAAGAGCGCCACCGCGCGATATCGAATCGCTCGTCTCGAGTTCGATTCGAGTTTATTTTAGGTCCAGCTTGAATGGGGGTGCGAACTGAAAGCGGAGAGAGAGAGAATCGATAGTAATTATATCCGAAATAAAAGGAAAATAACGCGGAAACGAGGGAAAATTGCCGGATTAAGATAACCGGCTTTAAGGAGAATTTACAGTAACGCGTTCTGCGAAATTACCGATTTCTAATCTGCGAGAACGGCCTTTCTGGAAATTCGCCGACTCCCGTTTTACCCTCCTTCGATCCTATCGTTTATCCATTTTGATTCCCGAAGAGGAAGAACTTGAAAATGGATCGCGTAGGTTTAAGGATTAAGTTATACCCGAAACGGATCTGCGTTTATACCGCGTGACGCATATATTATTTTTTTTTTTTTTTTTTTTTTGGTCACGCTGAAGAGTCCGACCTCTCTTAAGCGAAAATGCAAAGATTTTCCTCGAATTAAATGGCACCTTTCGAGATTGCCCCTTTTACGATTTCCGTTTGTGATATTCTTAAAGTGTATTAGCCCCGTCATGAGTCCCGCGGGAGCAATCTCCCAGAAAGTTTCATTCAAAGTCTGGTTTGGTTGCCGGTTATATATATATATACATATATCCTTCTTATCGCGCCTTGTCGTCGCTAGAAAAATTCAAGGATGCGAGATCAATCGGAAAACTATCGATTTATAATTGCATTTTCATACGCGAGCGCTAGAAGAAAACGATAATAAAACCCAGCAAACACAGTATATAAATGTTATATACTTAAGTTTGTTAAATGTAACGTATATGTTAGTTGTAATTTCCCACTCATAGATGTAACATTTTTAATATTACATTGTAGTTATATTGTCATTATATCCCAAGATAGCACTGACTTATCAATACATCAATGTGCTATTTGGTATATAATTACAATATAACTACAATGTAATATATGTTATATTAAAATGTTACATCTATGAGTGGGAAATTACAATTAACATGGATGTTACATGTAACGTACACGTTATATTACCTGTTACATTCCGTTTTATTATAGCAATGTAACAATTATATATCGGTGTTTGCTGGGTTTATATAAAATTACAACTAACATGTACGTTACATGTAACATCCATGTTAGTTGTAATTTCCCACTCATAGATGTAACATTTTAATATAACATATTACATTGTAGTTATATACCAAATAGCACATTGATGTATTGATAAGTCAGTGCTATCTTGGGATATAATGATAATATAACTACAATGTAATATATGTAATATTAAAAATGTTAAAAAATTACAACTAACATATACGTTACATGTAACATGCTTGAGTATATAACATTTATATACCGTGTTTACTGGGAAAGTATATAACAACAATTTAGTATTGTCGTTCGTAAACAATTTTACCGATTTTTTTTACGAATTTTATTTCACGCCTTTATGACATTCTGCCGAATCTGGACTGTTTTGCGGCGATCTTGTTTTTTTTTTTTTTTATTTTTTTTTTTTTTTGGTGGTTTTGTTTTTACAAGGAGCAAAAATATCATTGCGATTCGAGTCGAGCTTTGTTAGCGGAAGGACGCGCGGATTCTGCGTGATGCATCGACAACACGGCGTGGGAGTCTGCCAGGGAGCGGGAGGAGGGGTGGAGGGGATGCTGCTGGACCAAAATCTGGCCTCAGTCGTGCGCGACGCGCCATATGCGGTGGACCATTTGTCAGCCGGCTCACAAAGGCCAATAATCTCGCGTGACACGTGTGCTTCCCCTCGATAAAAAGCGTTACGTGTCGCGCCGCGCGTTTTCGTGAAAAAGCTTCTTCCGCGCGCCAGAGAAATTTCGGCCGTCGTCCGGTGCGGATTATTTGCAGGCCGCGCGATTCTATATAGTCGCTCTTTTATATCGTCTTTTGATATATTCAATTCAAATTGTTTGATTAATCGTTCAATTGTAGATTCTGGAGCAAATTGTTTGACTCAAACCCGGATTCGCGAAATGTTCCCGCTATCCTGTCATTCGAACATCTGGAACACGTGGTACTCGCCGGCGAAGAGGTTGCGAGGAATTTAGATTACATCTGCGATTTGAAATTGGTAAGTCTTTTTTTTTTTGCTTATATATACGTACATTTACACGTAATTAAAAATTACTATACATTTCACATTTATACATAATTAAAAATCTTATATGTATATATATATATATATATATATATATATATGCATCTTTTATAGATGTGTTTGTCAATTTTCTTTTTTTTATATATACATAAAAACATTTCTTTTTTTATATTTTATATAATAGTATATTATATTTTTTATAAGAAAAAATTCTTATTAAAATTATCAGATCACTTTTTATTAATTATTTTACACATACATAATTATTACATATAATAAATTATGTATTATAATAACATATTATAATACATAATTTATATTCTTGTTTACATAAATAAATGTAAACTTGATAATGATGTATTACGTGAAAAAATCAGCAGATATTCGCGATAATTTCGTGACGAGTTCTGCTTTCTTCACATTTGCCATAAATACGTACGTCTCCATTACTTTGTGATAAGTAGCACAAAATAAACTCCGATATAATGCATTATTGTTCCAACGTCAGTGACGAAGTTAAAGTTTAATTCTTTCAATTATGAAATTAAATTAATGAAATTAAATTATTGAATATACTCCGGATTTGTTTTGGAGAGAATCCGTAATTGACGGGCGAGATCGCGTCATTAAATAAGTCAAACTTTCGGGGAAAATAAAGGCTCGCGTTCAGCGAGAAAATACACGATAATTTATTTAATCATCGAACGCGCGATAAGAAATTAAAGAGCGCCGTCTATACGGATTAAAACGCGCGACGCATAATTAAAGCGCCCTCGTCCGTGCAAAAGCAAGAACGGGGTACAACGATATGCGTAGGGGATAGCTTCTAATTTAACGCGAGATTTTAAACACCGTAGTAAATATCACGGAAATCTGGATAATTACCTGGAGGGAGGATAAAACGCCGGATTCTCTCTCGAGCGCGCGCCGCGGCCTTTACATTTATTAGGGACGAACAAAAGCGCGCGTGGCGAGATAAGAGCCCGCGCTGAATCACGGCCCGATGAGACACAAAATGTGTAATGTAAATGCGCTTTCGGTGTAGAGTCGCGCGCGAGAAGCACTTAACAATTGCTTAAAATAACCAGAATGCGTGCGCCGCGCTCACTCGCACGGTGGAAAATGGCGCCGTTCTGGGCGCGTGCCGCTAAATTCGGACCAAATTCGAGAATCGAAATGCATGTATCGCCGATGCAACTTTTAGCCGATTCGAACGTGTCCCGCATGTTTACGCGTACCTGGATAGTTTTATTTATATATTTTACGGTAGGAGAAATAGCCACGTTTACCGAAAATTAAGATTAATCGCACATATATGTATATATATCCTATTAATTTTATTTATTAGTTAATTAATTTTTGTTATATACAATTAAATATAATTTTTATTGTTTATATAAAAATTATATATATATATATATATATTTAAAGATATGTATTTATCAATTTTCTTTTTATAAAAAAGTATATATCTTTTTAAATACTTTTTATATATAATAGCATATTATATTTTTTATAAGAGAAAAAAAATTTAACTGTTTCTAATATTATTAGTTTCAAACAAATGGTGTTAATGGCATTATTGAAATAAATATTATTTGAAATTAATAACTTTTTTCAGTATATAATTTAAAAATATACTATTATTGTATATATAATAATTAATATATATATATATACATCTTATATAAATATTTGTATTTTTTATAAGAAAAAATCTTCCACCTCAATTCTTACACAATTTCTTATTAAAAATATCAGATCAATTTTTATTAATACGAAGATTGAGCGCGAACCTATCGCTAAGGATATCGATAAGGACCGATTACCATAATCCTTCTACTGGAAGAATAAGATAGTTGGGAGGATCTTTACAAACTTCCCGACGTTTCGGATTTTCAAAATAAAAAAGTCTCACGGTCTTTTTTTTTTTTTTCCGCGGAGAGTTTGGTCGCTACGTTATCTTATATCCAGAGGGAGAGAGAAAAAAATCTCGGGAAGTTCTTAAAGACCGACGCCATTTCTTCGGAAGGGATCTGGCCGTGACTTGTCTCCCTTCGAGACGGCTCCGGGAAGAACTTTGAAATTTTTCGTATCCGCACAGAGTTGCAAAAGCTCGCGTCGGCTTACATGTATATCCTTGGTTCCTTCTCTACCCGCCATCCTTCAACTTGATCCTGTCTTTTATTTTTACACCGTTCGTCTCTTCCCGCGGGAGAAGAGATACGCCGAATGAATCCTAAACGAGTGAACACGAATTATAGAAAGGAGGTGGGAACTATATATGTATATGAGCGGTCTTAATTTTCGGTATCAGCCTCTCTCATCGTCCTTGTACGATCCGTTTAATTTCTATTTCACATCTACAGAGTTGTTTCCTTAGATTTTGAAATTAGCTAGATAAAGATGAGATGGAAATGTGTAAATTTATTTCAGATAAAATAAAGATGATTTTATTTCAAATATATCTAGATATAAAATTATATGGCAATTCATCTAGATAATATTATTTTTAAGACCGCTTATATAAAAACACAGCTGTAGAAAAAGGAAATTATAAAAGGGATTTATTTATATTTTTAATAAAAATACTTAAGTATTTTTTTTTATCCAAGATGCTAATAAATATTTTTATGATCTAATATATGATGACGCCAAAATTTCATCTAGATGATTTTATTTAGATAACACAGCAAACACTGCACGTCTGACATGCAATATATTCAAAGGAATAGGATGTTTAATTTCTATTTCACATCTACAGAGTTGTGCTTAGATTTTGAAATTAGCTAGATAAAGATGAGATGGAAATGTGTAAATTTATTTCAGATAAAATAAAGATGATTTTATTTCAAATATATCTAGATATAAAATTATATGGCAATTCATCTAGATAATATTATTTTTAAGACCGCTTATATAAAAACACAGCTGTAGAAAAAGGAAATTATAAAAGGGATTTATTTATATTTTTAATAAAAATACTTAAGTATTTTTTTTTATCCAAGATGCTAATAAATATTTTTATGATGTAATATATGATGACGCCAAAATTTCATCTAAATGATTTTATTTAGATAACACAGCAAACACTGCACGTCTGACGTGCAATATATTCAAAGGAATAGGATGTTAATTTCTATTTCACATCTACAGAGTTGTGCTTAGATTTTGAAATTAGCTAGATAAAGATGAGATGGAAATATGTAAATTTATTTCAGATAAAATAAAGATGATTTTATTTCAAATGCATCTAGATAAAATATATGGCAATTCATCTAGATAATATTATTTTTAAGACCGCTTATATAAAAACACAGCTGTAGAAAAAGGAAATTATAAAAGGGATTTATTTATATTTTAATAAAAATACTTAAGTATTTTTTTTATCCAAGATGCTAATAAATATTTTTATGATCTAATATATGATGACGCCAAAATTTCATCTAGATGATTTTGTTTAGATAACACAGCAAACACTGCACGTCTGACGTGCAATATATTCAAAGGAATAGGATGAATAACTAGCGGGAGTTAATGATCGTCGTAATCGGGCGGAAGATAAGTCTTCGACGTGGCGTTTCGTCGTTTTTCATTTCACAGATAAGACCTATAGGCACCTTCCGCCTTTATGAAGTGGTGGTTTCTCTCGCGATGAAGAGCGGAAAATGAGATGAAAATCGGAAGACGAGAAGAGGGAGGAAGTGAAGCAGGACAAACCGCGGGCGAGAAGATGAGATACGAAACTGCGCTCTACCTGCTCTTCCTGCTGATCCTGTCGCTCAATGATCCTTCGTGGGCTTCCGCCGAGATCAGAGGTTTGCTGATTAATTAGCTTGTCTCAATTAATACTATATTAAACGATAACATTATTATTATTTATTTCATTCAACAAAATGAGTCTCTCAGTGTATAAAAATCGATATCACAGATATGATTTCTTTTCATACAAAATAATTATAATAATATTAAAAATATATTATATATATATATATATATATATATATTAAAAATCGATATTACTGATATATATTTTATAATCCATTATATAGGTGATTATATATATATATTATTACAAATATATATTAAGAATATATTTTTAAAGAAAATCAGTGTATAAAAATCGATATCACAGATATGATTTCTTTCATACAAAATAATTATAATAATTATTAAAAAAATATATATATATATTATTAAAAAATATATATATATATATATATATATTATTAAAAAAAAATATATATATATATATATATTAAGAATATATTTTTAAAGAAAATATATTTTTTTGTTAATATAACGACATGTGTTGCTTCTGTCATCAAGTATCTCGGCACAAATATGTTCGGATAGCCGGATGATTCGCGGATGATTGCGATCCTATAGAAGCTTCGACGGGAATGAAATTGCCTAGCTTAATGAAGCGCTGAGGGGCGAAACTTCGTTGAGAGAAAGAACGTTAATCACCTTTGTAATGGAATAACATTCGCCTAGATAGAGGGACAACGTATTTAGCGTCATCGTTAAGGTTTGCAGAAAGAAAGAGCCCATTTTTTGCATATCGCTTTATAGAACGAAGATATAAAAATCAGGATAAAGCGCGCGCGCAGAAATAATTCATACATTATTTATTAGCGTTAATAGAATAAAAATAAATGCGCCTCGTGTTTTTCTTGTGTACCCGATGCGTCAAAGGAGTCGTTAGTTTATGACTATTCATGTCCCTCGTAACGAGAAGACCGTATGCGTACAGAAGCTATCGCCCGAGGATACTTGATGTAATTAATTGTATGCATTGTCACGCGTCTGTGATATGGATAGCCTGTGCAACGGCCGTATATACTACTATAGCATTGTAATAGACATTAAATACATCATTGAGAAATAACGCTATGTGTGATTTAATATATCACCGAGAGAAAAATATATTCTAAGAAAAATGTAAAAATTTTAAACATGGGATAACAACAAATATTATGTGTATTATTATTTTATTTTTATTATTTATTATATATATATATATATATATATATATATATAATATTTATATATTGTTATTAATATATTTATTATATTTATATTTTGTTGTATATAGCATTTCTTTGGCAAAATAATTTTCTATTCTACTTTTGTCATTTTCGAGATTAATATTTGAAATGCCTTTCGTGCAGATGCGATTTAATCAATATTTAATTCAGAAAAGAATATGGAGTGGAACGCGAGAATTGAACGATATCGATCTATCAAACACGAGAATACATATATAATACCCGCACGCACACGCGATAAAATTAAGATGACAAATATAGCCGAGAGTGGAGAAGCACACAAAGAGGAGGATAGATACGCGGTGCTTGATTTCAGAGCGCGAGATCGCTGACATCAATGGCAATTAATTAGCCGGTAAACTCCTGAGTAATTTCATCAGTCCGGTGCAGTCGAGGGTCGTTGAATAAATAAGGTCGTGTTGTGATCGGGAATACCGGTGGCGACGTTTCGATAACCATTCCTTCAACGTCTTCGTCCTCTCCTTCGCGAAATACACATTTATTTGAGCGAGATCGATTTTGTGCGAGGCTCCCCCAAGGGTCTGCGAGAGCCTTGCGGAAGGGCCAAAGAGAAACATAGAGTAATGAACGAAAGATTGTAGGGGTAGCTGAACGATCAATCTGAATTCCATTTCTCTCTCTCTCTTTCCAAAATGTCTGATTATTCCTATTACAGACAATTTATAGCAGTGTCTAAAAACCGAATGTCCTTTTTTTGGAGGAACAGAGCACGAATTTTTCAGCTTCGTCCTTTTTTTATTATCTATGTTATGTCTGTTATCTATGTTGTATTTGTAAGTTGTTTTTATTTTGTTTAAATAACATATTTTTCACGTAGGATGCAATCGGACCATCAGAAATTCGGTGGGCTGGATTCGCTGGACAGGACGAATGGGACGATGCATCGTGCGGATCAGAGCACCACTAAGAGATCCGCAGGTTAATATACACATCAATCTTTGTTATAATTATTTTCAAATTATTTGGTCTATCTTCAATTTATAATTTGCAATCAAATTATATAATCTAGATAATAATATTTGAAATAATATTTGAAATTAAAATAAATAATTTAAGAAGGAATAAGCGGAATTAATCAATAATTCATTAAAATCGTATGAACTTTTATAGGTGATCGAGGTGAAAGTCAGGAGATTACAGGTGGGTTTCCTGAAGGAGGCTCGATGCGAGGGAGCGTATTTTCAGTTCTCGGACAGCGCGGACGATCCTGACGACGAGACAGGTCGATATTGCGGCCACGTGACCGGAAACGCTACGAGGTATAACATCATCTCGTCTCGTCCTTTCGATTATCTTTCGGGTTCTTCGTCACTGATAAAGTCACGTCTGTTTTTCACGCAGGCTATTTTTGCGACGTGGCCCGGACCTGACTATCACCCTGTCGTCGGACGCGCACTTTGCGTCGATGAACCCGGTCATCTTCTCCGCGCAATTCTCCATTCTACCGACCCGCCTCGCGGTCGAACGTCATCGCGGTTATTCAGCGTCATCGTCGCCCACGTGTCCCATGGAATGCACCGTACGAAACGAGCGCAGATCCTGCAGACTGACCTCGCCGGGTTATCCTAGCGTCTATCCACGTGGAATCAGGTGCGCGCGAATCGTGGGCGTCCGCAGAATTTTTTTCAGCAGGATTACTTTTTTAATTTTATTTTTTATTCTTATTTTTATAATTAAATATGCAAATAAATTCCAGCGTTTGTTCGAAAGGAAATCAAATGCTTAATTTTTTTATTCAAGGAGGGCAAATGTCTCCTCTTGCTGTGTCGAGTTGATAAATTTGACAAAAATGTATTTTTCGAGAAAATAGAAATTTCAATTATGTTTGTCGTGATATTTTAATTATATCAAAATTATTCTAACACAGATGCAGGGTCGCGTTGGAGTCGAGCGCCGGTCGCTTCAGGATAGGCGGTCAGCCGGAGGACCTTTTCGACCTGATGAACTACAGCGATCAAGAGAGTTGTCAAATAGAAGATTGCGAGGGCTCCCTAGAGTCCGAGGGACTCGGCCGGTCGTCGTTCTCGGCCTTCGCAAGGGTCACGAGGAGTCGGGATCGTCTCCTGGAGGACGAATCTATTATCGGGGCCGATCGATTGAGGAATGGACACAACTGTCGGACGAGACGCGCCTCGGAAACGAATAGGCAATTAACGAGGCACTACGAGAAAAAAGCGGCACGGTGGTACAGAGACAGGCAATATCATCACAAAGAGCCGCCGAATAGGCTCGGCACGAGCGTGCCGAGACTTCGCATAAAATCAATGCGTTCGAAGATAACGAGGCAGGACCAACGGAGGGTCGACCCGAACCGTTATCTCAATGGCGACCCTGAAAGACCGAACGAGACGTTCGGTAGCGCGACGGTGCGTAACTCGTTCAAGCAGAAAAGGGGGATATTAGTGAGAGCTTCCGTTAATAACTTTTCTTTACAAAGTGTACTATCTGCACGCACACATATATTAAGATTAAAGATATTAAATAGCTCTATCATTCAGCTGCTATTCAATTATTCGATTTTCAAGTTTATTTTGATTATTATAATTATGAACCAAATAATTGAAACTGTCAACAGATATATTTAAAAGATAAAAATAACGAGAGTAACGTTGTTATTTTGGCAACAAGATTTAATTATATTATTTATTAATTATATTTTCGCATCTCTCCTATGCTTGCTCTGTTGTAATAGATATAGCTTGTATATAATTTTTTCAGATGTTGAAATATCCCGGAGAGTCGGAGAACGTCACGTGCGACGGCGGCGACTATCTCGCGCTGCTGGAAAACGTAAACGGGAGGATCCTCGAGATCTCCAAGTTTTGCGGCAGCGGACGCGTGCCGCGTATCTATTCGCGCGGGAGAAACGTAATCCTGGAGTTTTACGCTCGAAAGGACGGCACCGTGACGCACGATGGCTTCCAAGTGACCCTGCAGGAGGAACACGTCTCGCAAGAAATGAAACACGTGAGATGCGAGTTCGTGTACAGGAGCTCCCGGCGTAACAGCAGGGAGAACATCAAATCCCCGCGGAGCTGGTATCCGCCTAATACCGTGTGCACTTACAAGTTTCTCGGTAGAGCCACGGAAAGGGTCTCCGTTCATATAAAGATCCTCAGAAACGAGCTCGGCCACGAGAAACTGGAGACTAAGCGAAACTTTAGCCTCAACTATTGTCCGGGGAATGAAATCACTGTTTATAACGGAATGCAGGTAATTGACTTTCGGTAATTGACTCAAGTCTTGTTTGTTCTCTGGTCGCTTTTCCCAAGTTTTCCAGTTTATACAAATTGACAAGAGTTTGTAAACATTCACGCGAGAGTCAATTTTTAATATATGACTTCTTTAATTAATATGTCTTAATGATGCGCAAATAAATAATTAGACGCATACATGAAAAATGAAGGATAATTCAATAGTTTTTACGTTTTTTTTTGTTTAAAGGATTTTTGAAAAATTTGAATGATATAAAATTAATAAAAAACTTGTAGACATCTTTATCAAGTAAATTCTTTTTTAAAATTTATTTATCATTTTTCGGAAATGATCGAGTTTCTCTAGACGTTCTGTCTTAAAGATTGACAACGATTCGCAGGTGAACGGCAGCTTCCTGTTGTGGTCCTATTGCGATGCGTCTCACTGGGACATCAACAACATTCAAGTACCTTTGACGTCTAGCGGAAACGAATTATTGATCCAGTACTACAGCGCCAAAGGGTCCTACGATGGTCAAGGATTCACTTACGCCGTATCTTACCGATTTGTCAGAAAAGAGCAAAACTCGACAAGTACGAAGCGCAAATATAAATCGATCTCGTTAAGGCCCATCAATCTCTCGACTCTGAATCTCAACGATACCGATGTCGATTACGAATGCGACAATAGAATCGGCACGTTCAAAAATTGGTTCGCGGTACTTATGGTTTTTGGAGTAGTGTCCTTTATCGGGGCCGTCGTCACAATAGTTGCCCTGACGGTCAAATGTTTAAAGATCAAATCCGCCGAGAAGAAACTCTTGCAAAATACAAAACGGTAATAATTACATTAACAAAGTTTTATGTTTTCTTTCTCTCTTTCGTAATCCATTGATTAATAATATGTAATTAAAAACGATCTCGGGAATTCGTTTGAGAGACGAAGATATTGGAAATTGAAACAATTTCGCGTTTAAATGGCCAAAATAAAACCCACTGAGGTCCCACCGAGACTTGAACTCGGATCGCTGGATTCAGAGTCCAGAGTGCTAACCATTACACCATGGGACCTTGATACTTTTTCTATGAACAATTAAATAGCACATGTAAATATTTGCGAAAAAATATCACGAGAAACTGTTGAAACACGATTGCATAGACATAGACGATAGATAGACCGATTTAATATCGTTATTCAACATCTTCTTGATATCTTTTGCAAAGATTTCTCTTTTAAAGAATAATGTACAATGTATACCAAACTGAATTTTTATACGTAACAAAAATAATGAATCGCAATAAAATATGTATAAATAAGCGGATGGGTAAAATTGTTATATAATATATTACTATATATATGTATGTTATATTCTTTTTCTTTTTAGGTTCTACGACATTTGTATATTCTACGTGGAAAAGATCTCACTATTCAATATGAATTATCTTATTTTGCATCAAAAAGATAATTTTGATTATTTTATTTTGAAAATTACATATTAAGGTTTTAACAGTATAGTATTGATTAAAAAACTTGAGATTTATTTTAAGACAAATTAAGATAATTATTTTATGAAAGTAAACAGTTTGCGAAAGAAGATAATGCGGAGATTTTTTAAAATAATTCAGATAAATTACGGATACGGAAGATTCGCGCGGCAACCCGTTATGCATCACACGTATAGCATCGATTATTGCATCATATCACGGAATTTCTCGCAAGATTACGATAATACAAGGTATATGACATTCCAATAATTATCAAATTGAAAGAAATAAAAAAATAGACAAATTTGAAAATTTTCTAATTAATAAAATATTATTTTATATTTCATATAATTAAGTGCGCATGTTTTCTGATAAATAATTTCTTCAAATACAGGTACAAAGATTTCAATATGGATCCGAGATACTAAATGAAGATAAAAAGCACAGTGGATTCTTAGAACATATTTTAATATAACACATATATGCATTTTATGTATAAAAAAATCCTGCAGGAATTCTCACGTTGTCGATAACGTCGCCGGCTGTGTTACCGACCGTACGACTCATTTCCCGCGCATGCGCGGCGCAGCGATGTTGTGCACGCGCTGCGCAGGAGCAAAGTACCGTCGAGACAACAGTCCGATTTGTCGTGTGCCTATCTCCCCGTGTATTGAAAACGAATTTCGACGGAACGCACGACGAAGATGGCCGGCACGGGAAGCGGTGACGCCGGTGGTTGCTGCTCGTCGATTATGAAGAAACTCGGCCTCCAACCCGTCACGCGATGCAGCCTCGCCAAGTTCTACGTGCCGGCACTCGGCGCCGCCTCGTATACGGCGATGTCCGTCAATGTCATGAATCCGAGTCTCGTCATCAAGTAAGCAGGCAGTTCCGTACATAATTCCGGATGTTATTTATTCGTAATACATATGATTCAATGTTTATCATTGACGAGACAAATCGTAACCTGAACGAATCTTCTTCTCTCTCTCTCTCTCTCTTTCACTCTCTTTTTCGCTTATTACGTAATTCTGATCGCATGCAATTTATACGTCTTGTTGCGATGATAAATGAATCTTAATACGATCAATTTACAATTAGATATATCTATATCTACATATTTTCATGTAGGATCGACATGACATTTTTATCTCTTGAAGCGAGACAGCATGTTTATAAATGATGTAACAGAGAGGAGAGAAAAAGAGAGGAAAAACATAAGTAGAACATATATATGGAACTAGATCTAGGAATTTGAAGAATCCAAGTATCTAAAAATTTAATTAATATGGTTTCAACATCTTGATATCTTTTGCAGCAAAGATTTCTTTTTGAAGAATAATGTACAATGTATATCAAACTGAATTTTTATACGTAACATAAAATATAATAATGAATCACAAGAAAATATGTATGAATAAGCGGATAGGTAAAATTATTATATAATTACGTTTAGAGGAAGAAAAGTAATAGCATTTTTCTTTTCAGAGTATTCCCAAAGAGAGACATTACAAACGTCTTGCTGGTTGGCACTCTAGTTGGAACTGGATCATACATCTACACACGTGAGCACATAAAGACTGCGCCACAGTCCGTAAGAGTTTTGTACAGGTGAGGAAAACATGGTATATGCGAGAATATATTTATCTCGTATTATATTTCTTATGTCTTATCTGTCGAATTTATCTTCTAGTGTTACCGGGGCGGTATTATTGAGTTTGGGATCTGTCTTATTGTGGGCAGTGATACGTTCCGTAGTGCCACCAAGTCCAGCCTGTTGTACGATAGCTGGTATCGGCACTGGAGTGGCATTTCTTAAAATTGGCTCGAGCTATCTCGAGTTTGTCGACAACCAAGTAGCGAAAAAGTAGGCTGTTTTTGTTATGTACTTTCTGTTTTTGCCTCTTTTCTATTTCAAATTTGTATTTTAAATTATTACGAGAGGAAATTGCATTGAAACAAAATGATACATCTAAAAGTATCGTTGAATTTCAACTGAAATTTTTACAGACGTAAATTATTCGCGAAAATATTATCCTTTTCACCTAAGAATTTTCTATTTACGCGAGATTTCTTCTAAGAAAATAAGAAGAAGATGAGTCGATATTTTTATGAAAACTCGAATCGTCACATTGCACATGCGCTGTCAACAATTTCAGTGTTGTCGAAATTTTTTGCACATTAGTGAATGTGTCGAACATTCGCTACTCTTTTCTCTCTCTCTCTCTCTCTCTTTCTCTCTCTGACGCTCATCGTCGCTTTATACCTGACAATGTTACCGAAATCGGATGAATCGTTAACACAAATTATTTACACAAGATATATTTTGCAATATGCACGTATTTTGGGAACTTCTAGGGAAGATCCCGCATAATTCCGGATCGTTTCGAAAACCCGGAAAATATGTGCATACGCATATGTTTTGTAAACGATACAGCATTCGCATAAGGATGCATCGTCATGTAGATAACTGTCACCATAAATATATTCGAATATACGAAGAGTGTGACACGAATTCAAGCCTATAAGGAAAAAGGGACACTAAATTATTTAACACTCTTATCCTGTCCGGAAATTCCATCGATATCCCTATTTCTTTCTTATACTTCTATTATAAAAATAAGATATAAATAATATTGAGATTGGTGTGCCAGTACAAAAATTGCGGCTAATTGCGCAAATGATTTTACAATATTTAGATTAAATTTTTAGTTATTTATTTATTGAGAGAATACTTGAAGTCATGTAAGAGTTGAGGAAAAGTCGAGACTCGCGAAACTCGTTTCTTGTAACATGTAACAAAACTGGTAAAGCTATTCCTTCTTATTGCAGTCGTTCGTTTCACTGAACTGTGTTTGTTTCCTCGAGCTGTCATCGTTTATTTATGCGTACTATTGCACTCTCAGGCGATTGCAGACGAGCACCGAGAGTCAGATAAGAGGAACCTCCAGACAAATGCAAATGTAAACGACTCGCTGTGATATTTAGTACATGCATATATATAGGCACGAGTCAATCTCACTATCGACTTTTTGTTTAGTCTTCGTAGCGCAAAAGAAGCGCTACACTATAGTGTGTGCTAGTTAAAATTAATTATAATACACGGTAAATAAATGACGAAACTCTAAAGGATGCGGAGATACTTTCAAAATCGCACGTGCGAAATGCGAAAGTCCCAAGTTTCAGGGTCGCTCTTTAATCACGAAGCGCATCCTGTTCGTCCATCGTAATTAAATGCGATTGACACGAAGGCTCGGATCTTCATATCTTATCCTGCGCGACACACATTACGATGCATCGTCATAATTACTGAAATTATATGCGATAATTTATCTTATTTTTGAGAGAGAAACAAAGAAAGATATGTTTGCCCCCTCCCATATATTGAAAATAAAAATACAGCAGCGTTTTATATACAGTGTCTTATCATCTACTTACGAGCTCTTCGCCAATTAGAAAAATTTTTTTTTTAATTTATCGCGGCCATATTAAATTGTGACATAGCGAGAAAATATACATTGAAAATTTTTGCGTCTTATTTAAAAATTAGATAAGATATTTTGATGAAACACAATTTTAGATGGTTTTAACACACTTAATATTCTGAATACTATTTTTTTTTCTCTTGACAGTCAATCAACAAGTGTAAAATAATTGAGACATGAGGCTTTGTTATGCATATGACTATGCATGTGCACAGTCATTTTACAGCTGTTGATTGATTATAAAGAGAAAATGTTGGTTTTCAGAATATTTTAAAAATATACTAAAGCCATCTAAAGTTGCGTTTCATCAAAATATGTGTTATCTTTTTAAAAATGACACAAACATCTTCAGTGCGTATTTTCTTGCTTCTGACGTCACAATTTAACATGGTCGCGCATCAAGGGGCCTTAATAAATTTTCACTTATAACTCAAGAATTAATGATATAAATGTCTAAAATAGAGAAAGAAAATTAAATTTTTTTTTCAACATTTTCATCGAGAAAAAATACTTGTAATTAGCCATAATTAGACACAGATATGGAAAACACTCGCTAGGGCAAGGACACCCTGTATATGCGATGCCTCGTCGTGCCTTGTTGCAGTGTCGCTATTGTTTCGTCGCATCGCAGATAATGATACGGCATGCTTTCCAACAATTGTCAGCCTCGACGTGAAATCCGACGATGATTACGAAAGCATTTCGCTTCGCGGGATGACAGCGATGAGTTTGACAAACGCCACATCGCGATTTATTGCGATAAATAATTGTGCCCCGAAAAAAAAAGAGAATTTATCGCGTTGAAAAATATCTCATTTCTCTTCAAGAGGCAAGATATCGGTACGATTGCCTTTCGATAAACAAAATTTGTATTGATAAAAGAATTATATTGACTTTTTACAACACAATATATGACAAACAAAAATTATAGAAACGATTTAGCTAGGCTTTATTTTGTTGTACTGGATAAAAAAATTTGACGCTCGTGAAATATAAAAAAATATTGCTTATAATTTATTAAAATTCTTATATAAATACGACGTAATATTCGATTTATTGAATAATTAAGAAACTAGCTCTATACGGATCTACTCTCTTTCTCTCTCGTGATAAAGGTTCGTACATTATTTCTTTTCGTATGTTTTATCGAAGACAAAATATTTAAATGCTAAAACACTGTCCGATATTATCAATCAATAAATATTTTCGGTACCACGTACAATATCGTGGGTTTTGTTAAAGGCACTTAAACTTATATACTCATACAGCACACAAATTTGCAGCAAAATTGTAACAACATTGCAATATTGCACATTGCATAGCAATATTGCAGAAATATTATATAGTGATGAATTTGCAATATAGTTTAAACAACGTTGCAGCAACATTTCAGAAATATTATGAAAATAAAATTCACGCAAAAAATATTAGGTACAGAACATTCAGTCCGATCATGTATTTGGCACATTTCTAATAATCGAATAGTAATATTACATATATATTTTATTGCATTATTGCTGCAATGTTATAGAACAATATTTTTGAAAGCGGACATTTTACCGTTGCTGCAACCTTGCAGCACGATTGCTGCAACATTTCACAATGTTTATGCAATGTTGTAATATTGCAATGAAATGTCACAATGCTGCTGCGATCTTGTTGTATGGGTATATATTTATGAATGTAATTAAACTTATCTATTATACGCATGTCTTAAAAAAATATCGTAAAATGCTGCACCGAATACAGATATGTACATCTATTTGAAAGTCTTTTTCCCAGATGCAAATCTTTGAGCGGGAAACTCTTTGGAGGTCAACGAAATGTGTCAGGAAATATTTTTTTGCGTCATCGTACAATTTCCAATCGGAGCAGCGGTAAAAGGACACCTATCCGACATACGCAATGCAATACGTGTATTCCATTGTCGCATCGCGGAATAGAATCAATCACGATCGACATGTATAGAGAAGGATCCATCAGCCCTATCTTTTTTCCTCGGCTTCCTCTGTTTTCCCTCGAAATCCAAAATGGATGAAGAAAATAGACGAGGGACGTCTCTCTCTCTTTTCTTGGCAAAGGGCGACATCGTGATCCGTCGAGATCTGCGAGAGACCGAATCTCCCTTGCTGAAGACACAGCCGTGGAAACTCGCGGAAAAGCAGGGTCGATCCCTAACTGTGATGAGGGTGCAACGGCGCGGTTTCGTTGATATCCCTCGACCGTAACGTCGTCGAGGATGTGAGAGCGTTGGAGAGGGCCTCGGCGAGGCTGACGGTCACCTTGTCGATCGCGTCCGCAACCGGGTGCGTGTGATCGTGCTCGTGGTCGTGATCGTGATCGTGGTCCTCCTCCATCTCCCCGTGCGAGTGTCCGTGACCCTGGCCGTGATCGTGACTGTGCGAATGAGCGGCTGCAAAAATAAAACGTGGAATTTTGTCATTTTTCTCTCTCACAATTTTCTAACATATTTTATAACATATTTTTTAAGAAAAAAATTAAATTCTTTTTTTCAGACGCTTTTTATCTATATAACTTGCAAAAGTTTTAAATCGTAGTTTATTTATAATTTTATGTGTCGCGTATCTCTTATTATATGTGCGTAAATTCCTCGATAAGTCTCTAATTTTTTAGAGAAAAAAGATTAAATTCTTTTCTTAGACGCTCTTTATCTATAATTTGCAAAAATTCAAGATCGTATCTTATTTATAATTTTGTGTCACGTATCTCTTATTATATGTGTGTTTATTCCTCGATAAATGTTTTTTGTATTAGTTTTTTTTAGTGAATGAGCGGCTGCAAAAAAAGCGTGGAATTAAATTTTTTGACATCCTAAAGCTCTACTTTTTTAAATTTTTTAAATAAAAAAATTATCTCTTAAGTGCTTTTTATCTGTATAATTTGCAAAAATTCAAGATCGTATTTTATTTATATATTATAATTTTATATGTCGCGTATCTCTTATTATATCTGCATATATTCCTCGATAAGTGTTTTACGTATTACGTGACGCATAAATATAAATAGAATTCCAGAGCTCGTTCCAAGAAGGCTTTGGAATAAATTATAGTAGAATAAGGCTGTTGTATTTTTTCCTCATTTGCGCATTTACTTTACTTTTCTCAAAAATGTATTTTCGGAATAACTCATCGTATATATCAATAGAAATAGACTCAACTAACCGAAAGTGCTTAATTAACGATAACGGCCTGGTACGGATCGCGCCGTCGAATAAAGTGTCTATAGAAGAAAGTTCGACGTCTAGTAACAGTAATCGATAATTACGTAGAACCAACAATAATGTTAATTGGTAATAAATCGTTATTCGAGTTCTCTCGAATGAACAGCTCGCGTTTCGTGACAGGGCTACATATATAGAGCGAGTAATTTGTCGTGTGTCCGTTTCCTGTCTGTCTACTTATTTCCGGCTTGTAATTGCCCGCATGTGCACGAAATTCTCCAAATGGAGTTCAAACAGACGGCTATTTCGTCATAACTCGAAATGCGTCAAACTCTCAGCTCGGTCGAGAAAGCCGTCGAAAGTCGGTCGGATCGTCCATCGACCTAAACGTCCTCGGGTCATTGCCGTTGGGTGGAGAGAGAAAGCCTTAAGATATATGCATATACAACACACACATCTTTTATACGAGAGATCGATCCGATTCTGTCTTTCAGAAGACTGTTTGAATTGGTGTACGACACGATGACGTCGGTTCCTTATTTCCGGCGCTCCTCGTTACGCGAGAAAAAAATGTGTCTCGGAAGAAGTGGGTTGTTTCCGTGCGCAATTTGCCAATCATGTGGCAGTCGAGACGCGAGTCGTGTAAAAGTTCATGTCCCGCATAGTCACGTAGGAGTAACACGCAAAGCTCACGTATTTTATCCCGGATAAATCCCTCAATAGGTCGTTTAATATAGATATTAGAGTAGTAATGGATAGTAATAATGGTAGTCGAATTCTCTTTCAGATATACATATATACATACATAATATATAAATATTATATAATATTATATATAATACTTTATATATTGTATTACGTAAAATTTAGTATTTAATTATGTATATATACAGGATGTCGAAAAAATTTTTAAAATGAAAACTTAATTTTTATCTCCCTCTTTAGAAAAGTGTAACTCTTAGGGAGAGATATAAGAAAGACCTTAATTTTCGACAGAGAATCATCTCCTAAAATTGTTTGCACTTCCCGGGAACAAATTTTTATATATATATTTATGCACAATTAGATACAATTTATATAATATAATAATTAGATACAATTTATATAATAATTATATATAATTTTCTCTCTTTAAATCTTTCGTCATGTATATATATTTAAATACACCATATATAGAAACATCGTAAAAAATATTACTATAATTATAAATATTTATTAATATTTCAAATATAATTAATATTTATATTAATATAAATTATATATATAATTCATTATAAATTCGATTTATTATAATTTCAATCTATTATAAATAATGTGTAATTTATATTAATATAATTTGGAATATTTTAAAATTTAGACTTATATTAATATTTTATAATGTTTCTCTTTTTATATTTACGTGTGTAATACTATTTTAATCGTAAGATTAGTTTCACTCTCTCTTTTCCCTCTTTCTCTCTTTTTTTTGCTAATGCACAGAAAAATATTGCGTAACAACGAGTTTTGAATTGCGACTTTGCGTTCGCGCATTCTCGCGAGAAGGTCAGAATGCAATTAAGATTATGCAATAACAAGTGGCATATCCCGTGGAGAGGTATAATCGTTATTACGATCCATCTCTTCTTCCCACCTGCTGTCACTTTCTCGACGAAATGACACTTATCGTGCAATCATTCCGGGCATTATTGAATATGTCAAAGTAATATCGTGCACGTAGCGATTAAATGTTTTCGCGCCAAGACGCGAAAGTAGAGCATCGCGTGGTATTCAAATTAGATGTTGAATTAGATGTTTAAAATACGAACCGCTCTTCGGAAAAAATAGAATTAATGACGCATTTTTTTATTTAAAATTTTTCTGCAGAACTAGCTGAAATATTTTTCGATGTATTTTTTCTGGCCACATCGTATATCGATGTTTAAAATGTCTCGTATTTTTATTTATTTATCACAATCTGAAAAAAGTGAAAATAAATCCTGTTGACAACAAACGAGGCACTATTTAATAATAATAACAATAAGAGCACACGAAAATATTTTCATGATTCTACAATCAGTTTTATCAGTCATTGACTCTATTTGTATTGAAATAAATAATACAATAAAATATAACATTAGTTATCAAACGAGTTTATCAGGTAGTCATGTCGAGATTGACAAATATTTTAGTATTCTACATATATAGATACACACTAGACAAAAATCTTGTTGCATTAACAAAAATTCTGTTCGAAAATGGACGAAATAATTACTAGTTAGAATCTACTAAAATTCCTTATAATGCAACAAATTTCGTGTTTGCACAAACAACTGCATTTTCGAACATAATTTTTATTAATGCACCATTTTTTTCCAGTGCATATATAATATACAAACGTCTCTCGTATGTCAAATAATATATGAAACATATATATTTATATACATGAAGAAATACTTATTTATTTTGCATATATAAATTTATATAATTATATATAAAAAGCACTTTTATCTAATTACGGACATATTTCATATATAATTTTGCGATTATACGTATAATTTTCTATATTTCTATATAATTTGATATTGTTATATATAAAAATTTTTTCCCGGGTCAACTCGTCTGTTTAATTATGATATCAAAGTATAACGGTATAACTTCGATAAGAGCTACCATTTTCGCGACATTAATAAGCTCTCTAAACGAAATAGCGTTGCACGCGATTCGAGGGAATTTTGCCACCAATTATTCCCGCTTCAAAATTTGCTTCGACCCTGACTTTTCACTTGTATGTATAAATTCGTCGGCAAATCGATTAGATTAAACGAGAACTAACACGTGCAGAAAATGCATCAACTATCAAGGGCGTACCCGTAATAGGTTTGCACCGAGGCGAACGATCCTGCCGAAACCAGCTGGGCGATAACTATTACGGATTATCTGCTGGACACGCGCGAATGACGTAAGAAGAATCGCTCGAGGCGATCCTTCGTATTACGACTTCGTATACAACTCGGCATTTTTTTGTATCTGCACTTCGGATCAGAAAGAAAGAGAAGCTCTTTCATCTTAAAAAGGATTCCTCGCTTTATGTTACGAAACTTTTTTCGATGCCCTCGTTGTTACGCAATAAACTCATATGATGGTTCTTTTTTATATTAGCTTTGATAATTTCGAGATGGATTTTTTTCAAACACAGTTGAAAAGATATGTATCGATCTTCATTTTAGATCATCAGAGAGAAAGCGAAGCTCTTATATTCATCTTAAAAGAGATTTCTCGCTTTAATTATATTACGAAATTTTTCGATGCTCTTGTAAATTCATATACAGAGTATCTAAATAAGTGCAAAAGATTTTAGGAGATGATTCTTTGTCGAAAATAAAGGATAGTTTTCTAAAGAGACAAATTAAAAAAAATGAAACTTGGTAGATATTTTCCGTTTTATTTTTTTAATTTGTTTGAAACTTAAGAAAAAAAACAAAAGCTTAATTTTTTATCTCCTTCATTAGAAAACCACCCTTAATTTTCGACAAAGAATCTCATCTACAATTTTTCACACATATTTAGATACATCCTGTATACGATGATCCTTTTTTATATTATCTTTGATAATTTCGAGCTGGATCTTTCCTAAACACAGTTGAAGAGATACGTTTTCATTTCGAATAAAGTTAAAGAATCTCCATTCTCCATTTATGAATTTTCAAGCAGACTTTCTGCTAAAGATAATTTAAATTCCAATCGAAAGAATATTAAACATATTCGAGACTGAGAGGAGAAACGAGCTCTCATCATAAACAGTGATTCCGATCTGAGTGAGAAGATATGAATTACCCACGATAAGATAATTATAATTGCTCTTTGATGAAGAATAATCGCATACGGATCCTAAATGAGAAAATCAAGAAGAGAAAGAGCCTTAATGGATGGGAACTTTCACCCTCGATGGCGATAGATTTACACCGGAATAGACACGTGGAAAAATTCCCGCGAAATCACGCGGGAGAAACCGAAGAGCGCGAAAACGCGCGACAACAACGATGATGCAAAAATCTGTCCGTCCGGATACGGTCGCGACATGCTTCAAAGCTTTTCTTCCGGGCAGTGATGGGTAATATATATACATTTCAAATGTATCTCAATACAGATGTAAAAAAATATATCTAGATACAGATACAGATACACAAATTAAAATGTAGATACGGATACTCACAAAAGTATTTTAGATACATATCAGATACTTTTAACTTATATTTTATCATAATAATGGTGATATACAAAAAATTTACTGAATAATTATTTTATCTTTATTAATATTTTTGTTTACGATTTTATTCGTTAGTCTTAACACGTGAAAAATGCCTCAAAGATATCGTCACTCAAACTATTTCGTCGTGGTATTATTTGACCAATGCTTAATAATTCCTCAACTGGTGTTGATGACGATATTATTGACAACTTGCAGCCTTGATCTTTTAAAAATTTAAAGAATTGGGCTATTAAAAAAAATATGTGAAAATGTATCTGCAAATGTATCTGAAAAAATCAATTCAGATACCATATTTTGTACCTAGATACAGATATAGATACTTCAATTCGGATATATATCTCAGATACTGCATAATTTCATTTTTTAAATAATAGTAGATAATCTTTTTGTAATTATTTTAATATTAAGTATATACGTATAGTATATAATCAGAAAATTAAAAAATAATTGTATTTAAAAATATTTATAAATGTATTTAAAATATAATTAGTATTTAAATATATATCAAAACCAAAGTATTTCAATAGTATTTAAATACATGTCAAACAGTATTTAGTATTTAAATATTTTGGTTCGTAGTATCTGCCCAACTCTTCCGGGAAACTCACTGGCGATTTGCAGACCCAGCATCAGCGTGAACCCGACGATGATCGCCATCAGCTGCAACAACCCGCTCTTCTCGTTCGCTCTTTCGCGCGCCAACACCTCGAAGAAGACCACATAGAGCAGAGTTCCGGCCGCCATGCCCTGCAGAATGGTCGGCGTTGGTCCCAGGGTTTCGCTGTCGTTCTTGAAGTGGCCCAGTGCCAGCCCAATCCCAATCCCAATCGGCGTCACCATGGAGAAGACTGACAGATATCCGAGGGTAGCCCGCGTGGACGCGCCAGCTACGTAGAGCTCCATCCCGACGCAGAAGGAAATAACTAGTTTGTGGGTCGCGATGGCGGCCGCCAGATAAACGACCGAACTGATGGAGGGTTCCAATCCTACCGCCAGACCCTCGAATATCGCGTGGAAGGACAATGCGAGCACGGTTAACAGACCTTGCACCGAGGTATTTTGCGTTATCGCGCCATGATGCTGATGCTGATGATGCTGCTGCTGCTGATGATGATGATGATGATGATGATGGTGATGATTATGATCATGATGATTGTTGCGATGATCCTGATGGTGATGATGGTGATGATGATGATGCTTGATCGGCGAATAGTTGAGTTCCGACATTGCCAGTTCCGGATCGGATCGTCTCTCGACGACCTGACGTCCCTCGCTGGATAACGCGACCGGCGACAGGACGAATATAGCCGGCAGGACCTTATCGTCCTTGGTCACGTGGTTCCGCAATTCGTCGAGTTTCGATCGTTCAAGGCCCGCCTGGCTCTCCTTGTCCTCGAGGTCGTCGTGGTCCTTCCATACCGTGGATCTCGTCGTGGAAACAGTGGCGGTGGAGCCGCTCAAGGTCGACGGACCCGTCTGATTATTGTTGCATCTGCGCACCGAGACGGTCCGATAGAGCAGAGCCTCCGAAGACTCGGGTTTTCCCGTGAGGGCCGCGTGCACCGCTTCCTCGACCAGGTAGACGAGGAAGAAGCCGCCGCAGAAGAGCAACTCCGCGAGACCGAGAGAGCCCAGGGTAGGCAGCTGCCCGTTCGACTGATGGATCTCGACGCTCTCGCGCACTTCCGGTGCCAGATGTAAAAACGTCGTGAATAGGAGCACTCCACCGCCGAAGCAAAGCAGTAGCGATGTCAGAAGACCCTGGGGACGATTCGTCATCTACTAGGGTAAGAGTGCTTGGCGTACGCGAACTCGCGGACCTCTACGGACTCCCCAATCGTTTCGGAATCGATTTTGATTTTTTCAAGAGGTGAACATTTTACGTGTCTCTTTTACAGGGTTGGGTAATAACTAGTTAATTAATTAAAAGTTAAAAAATTAATAACTTTAACTTAGCTTAGTTAATTTAAAATGTATTAATTTTTAACCTCAATTAGTTATTTTTGACTTTAAACTTGTGAGTCATTATTGTTTATTTAAAATGATAATTTTTTAAATGTTATATTTAATATAATTATTCAAAAATTACTTATGTACTTCAATATTTTTTAATCTTTTGATCATATTATAAAATTGTTTTCTTGAAATTTTCAATAATAATACAGAAAAACACAATTACAATGTTTATTTTATTTCGAGAGAAAAAATTTCTTATTTTTCTATATTAATTAAAATACAAAATATATTAATTGATATAAAATAATAAAATAATTATCTTATATCAATTAATAAAAATAATAATCTGTTGCACAGATTAATCAAAAGCTCAATTGATTATTTATAAAAATTTTACTTTTTCACAAACCGCAATCGGTTCTAATTAAATGCATATATAATTAGGTGCATATACATGACGTTCGTAAAGTCAATGACATCATGACTAAATGGTTAAGAAATCGATTAATTCCGGATTATTCAGAGAGTCCGTAGATGTAGATTATAAATACCGAGCACTCTATATATCAACTAGCAGGTGTACTCCGGATGTGTTGCGGTTACTTCACGATCGACTAACAATCTCATATTATTTACAAACGAACCGTGAAAATAAACATTTTCTTTGTACGATTTTTTTTTATTTTCGACTTTTCGATCAAATACGATCTCTTGTCTTTGTGCCGGCTCATCCAACATGTTTATGATACACATTAATGCTTGCAATCATATTTGTCCAAAGAACATGGAAAAAATACTTTAAATTTTAGATGTCTTTATATTATATCTGGAATTTAATTATCATATCTAAATTTTAACTACATTTCAGATATAAGAGTATCTAAAAAAAAAAAATTAGCTATGATAGCTGATATTTTTTTATCCATGAATTCGACAAAATCCATTGATATTCACGAAATAAATCTATACGATTTTTATCGATTTTAATTCCATGGAACATGGAAAAAAATATTAACTATCATATCTAAATTTCAGGTGTCCTTATATTATATCTGAAATTTAATTACCATGTCTAAATTTTAACTTTTCAGATATAATATATAAGAATATCTAAAAAATGTAGCTATGATATAGCTGATATTTTTTTCCATGAATTCGACAATATCGATATAAATCTACGATTTAAATTCACGATTTTTAATCGAGAAATGACCCGTGCAGCGCAAAATTATGCAGTGAATATCAAGGATATCCGCTGCCGCTGTCGAGAATAAATATCCAAGGACGTCCACTGAGTGTATCTCCGTTACGTCGATTAATTTCCCGCTAATTCGACCTGTATTCGAGCAAGAGATGTGCTCGAGATTTCTTAAAGAAAAAAAAGAAAAAAGACGAGAAACCTCCGGAGACCCTGTTGAGTCGATCGAAAAGGGACACAGGCAAATTCATCGGGAGAGGATTTTTTCCTCGATAACGTACTTGTTTGTTCGCCGCGGAAGCCGAGTCGACGCCCGGAAATGACGAAGTGCTGGAGCGATCGGACGAGATCGGCCGGGATTGTTTCCGAAGTCGTTTCTTGGCCCTGCAACGTCCCACGATCAGCGGCAAAGTTCCCAGGGCCAGAGAACCGAAACCCAGACCGATCATCGCGCCGATCTTCGACATAAGGAGAACGCTGTACGTCGTCGTGTCTTCTTCCATCTCTCTTCTTTCCAACGAGATAACGATATATAATCTAGATCTCGTATCTCGACAAAAATAACTCCAATCTACGCGCGTGTCGATCCGTCTTTCTCGCTCCGAAGGACTTAAAGAACCGCACTACCGATTAAACTTGTCACCACTTCACCACCTTCTCGTAGACGAGGCTCTCATCTCACGAGCCCCATTCTTGCTCCTCGAGCTTTTTATCCGAAATCACCCGGGCGAAGTCAGGTTGATGGATGGATGAATTTCCCGTTTCGATGCGGAGGAACTCAACGCGCCACGACGGCCGATCGGACACTACTCCGACTCTCGTCGGTCTCGACTCGACGAGAACTCGGCTCGATCGGACCCCTCGGCCGCCGCCTCGTCGTCTTACATAGTCCGAGCCGAGCCGCTTCCTGCCCACTCCCGACAATGTCCCGTCCTTCTTCAACGATCGCTCGCCGCCGCGTGTGTTTACACGCTCGCTCTAGCACCTGCACGCGGTGACTGATCGCTCTCAGTGGCGTCAAATCAACGCTGGACCCCTTTCGAGGAGACGGGAGGTCCGAGGTGTCGAACTGCGCGCGTCGAGAAAGAAAGGAAAAGGAAGGAAAATTTTTATTTCAAATAAAAATTTTGAAAAATAGAGGAAAATAAAAGGAAATGGAATAAGAGAGGTAGGATGTTGAATTTGATGACACTAGTCTCGGTCGTGTCGATCGTAATCTTTTCTGTGCTCTACTTTCTTTAATGAGAAATTTCTTTGTTTCATGTGATATGTTTGTGTCAATTAACATAGAGATATAGTTGGTATCGAAAATTTGATCAGAGATTTTAATGCAATTCCAACAATCTTATCTTGAATTCTTCTGCCAATTCATAGCACCATAAATTGGCGTATAACCAGTGTTGTGTTTTGATGATTTTTAAATTAGCTAGATAAAGATGAGATTAAAATATGGAAATTTGTCTAAGATAAGATGATTGTGTTTTAAATATATCTAGATAAAAGATAAAATTATATGGCGATTCATCTAGATAATAATTTTTAAGACTGCTTATATAAACACAGTTATTTAAAAAAAATGTAAATTATAAAAGGGATATAAAAATATATATGTATTCATATTTTTATTTATAAATTTTTACTGCTTACTGCTTAAGTTCTACTATTTAAATATTTTTAGGTACTATTATTCTAAATCAAAATATCTAAAAATTATTCTAAATATAGTAAAGATAATACTATTTTCATCTAAGATGCAGATATAAATACATATTATTTTATTATCTATATATAGATAAGATTGCGCCAAAGCTTCATCTATATAATTTTATTTAGATAACAGCAAACACTGCGCATAAGACATTATTAAGAAATCTTTACTAAATTTTAGCTATGGTAACTAATATTTTTTAGCCATAGTTTAACGGAGAATGTTATAGCTAAAAAATATTAGTTGTCATAGCTAAAATTTAAGCATGACAACTAAATTTCATGTGTAATATATGGACAGCTAAAATTTAGCTGTGGTAGCTAATTTTTTTTTTCCGTGGCAAAGACATCTTAAAAACATTTGCTACTTAGGATCTTTCCAAACATGAAAGCCCTTTGTATACTTTTGCCGCGAAGAATTCTAACAAGCGTCTTCAACATTCCAAAATGCTTCGAATACCTATTTATTCGCAGAAAAGTTAAACCTACAAGTTCACTCTCCGAATGGCAAGTCCTTCACAGCATAGAGCACCTTAAACAATCAGGCACATTGCTGCCATGCTGTTCTATGCTCGACGACGAAGTTCGACAGTTGCAACGCATAATGCAATTTCATGCGTAGGCGCGTGCATGATGATGCACACGCGTGAATGAAAGAAATCGTCGTCGAAAGACGACGCTCTCTCTGCGTGGAAGGGAACATAAACGCGTGCAGACATCGCCTACGTCACGTCGCAATAAACATTTGCATCGTCGAATTGGAATATACGAGAAGATGAGGATAAATCTTCCGAGAGCGCTAAGTGTCACCGAGAATATAAGAGAGGAAGAGAGAGATTAATGGACGGATGGAAGAAGAGAAATTGCGAGAGAGACCCCCAAGTATCCCTTCGCAGACTTTTGACGAGATTGATTAAGATTTTTATACAGGCTAGTTAAATTTACTATTTTATTATTTAATTGCTCTTTGTTTTTATTTTATATTTAAGTGCGGTTGCTTTCATCTAAATATTGCTCGAATAGTTGGCCATAATTTCTATTTTGTTTATACAGGTTGTTTTTAAAATTACATCAGAGATTTTAAGAGCCTATTCTAGGACTCAAAATAAGAAAAAAATCCTATAGATCTAAAAATTTAATAAACCCCTTACATTTCTCTCTCAAAATCGGATTAGATTGTCAGAACCACATAAAAGTAAAATATTCATTACTATATAATTATTCTCCCAGTTTTAGGGAGCTACAACTCGGAGGAAAAGCATTTTTGGACCAATGTTTATAGGAACTTTTTTTCTTATTTTGACACATAGACTTAAAATTTCTAACGTAGTTTTAGAAACGCCCTGTATACATGGAAATAAATTTCTCTCCTTTCGATCTCATATCCCATTTAATTTCCACGGCGTGTCGAGCCACGGATGAGAAAATGTAAAAGGCCTCCTCGCCGGTCGCTTTCGAAGCAAAAGGCGTGAATTTAGAGACCTGGCGATCTGGGCCAGCGACACACGATCACGCCACCCGGTGATTATTCACCAGGCTCCGGCGATATACTTTCACCCTTTTGCGCGCGGCGAAAAAGCGAGAGGATACGCGCCGCTCGGTTTCGGACGCGTCATTGAACGTCGACGATCGAAACACGGGATTCAACGAGCCGTGGAAACGATCTCCTGGAATCGAGATCTCGATCGGCACGAGCCACTACTTTGTACGCGTGTATATGTATATCGTCAATTAGTCGATAAAGAAATAATTGTGCCATTCACTTTCGCGATTTTTCAGGCCTTTTTTCCTTCCTCTTCTCTTGCCTGATCGCGGACCATGAAGGACCATTCGAGTCATGCTCGAAAGAAACATCCCTCTCCTCTTCGTCACGAGTGACTCACACAAATGAGGGAAAAAAAAGACTAATTTTCCGAGGGAAAAATCTTTTCACATCAGAGAGTCGACCTTAGAAGAATCGTCTAACGTGTGAATCATCATCGAGAACGTCCTTCGCATCTTACGTGTCGCATTCTCTTTTCTCTCTCTGTCCTTCCCAACCCATCTTTTTCTATGCGACTAGTTTACGTTGTTTCGTACATTGGCCTCGACCTGCCCCTTCTCATTCTCTTTTGATAGAGAGCACCCGTGATAACTGACTGTTGACCAGCGAATAATTGCTTGCTGACAATCGATAAGTGTCGACCCTCGACCTCGGTTATGTGTTCGAAATATCGTCTTCGTTTTCAAGATTCGATTCTATTAAGCTTTCCCGGTTCTCTTTCCCTTTCTCTTATCTATTTTCCTTGTTATTCAATTGTCGATTTTCGAACACTTGAATTTATTTATAAAATGTATATTTATATATTTTTAAGATTTTTCTAAATTATTGATACATTTATATTTTGTCTTAAAGAAAACAAAAATCTTCCCTATTGGTAGAGAAATAATACTCCATATCACGGATTTAATCGGAAGCTCAGAAAGTTAACTGATTATGATAAATTATTGATTATATCATTTAGCGTCTTATCGTAACTTTTGTTTAGCAGCTAATCTCTTTATCGTCAATTCATCATATTTTTTAATTTTTCCATGTGACTGTATACGAGGAAAGATCGAATGTAATTTTCCAATTAGAAATAAGCAATCAGTCATAAATGTCACGATAAATAAAAAGCATATTATATATATAATAATCTTGATAAAATTATCAATTTTATTCGACGAGACAAAAAATGTGCATGTATAATTCGAACGAAGCGTATAGATAGAACGTTTATTTTGAGCATCAAATATATATAAATATTTAATTCCTGACTGTCAGTATTATTAAAGGATATAAAATTGTTAAACGTTAGTGCAAAATAAAATTGTCTGTACTTACTCGACATCTGTAGACCGAACATTATGAGAAAGCCGAAGAGAATCGAAACGTATTGCCACAATCCGGATCGATGCTCTTGCAGAATCTCGAAGAAGACGACGTAGAGGAGAGTGCCAGATGCCAATCCCTGCGAAGACGCAAAGATATAGGTACATAGATTTTGTTAAAATTACTAAATAATTATCAATCAAAATTAATATTGAACGCTAGTGGTGAAAATAAACTTGACAAACTTGATTTCGACGTAACTAGCAATTTTATTCAATACTTTCACGACGTTTCGACCATTTGGTTGTGGTCCTTATCAAGAAACGACGTCGTTGACGAAACATCATAGCGATGGGACGTGTTCCTCTTTTAACTATTAATTTTAAATATGACTGGTGTTATGTTGCGTTAATCTCATTTTAATTGATGGAATTTTCACTTGATAAGAACCACAACCGAATGGTCGAAACGTCGTGAAAGTATTGAATAAAATTGCTAGTTAGGTCGAAATCAAGTTTGCCAAGTTTAAATAATTATCATTCATTTTTTGTTGAATTTATATTTTATACGTCGTTTCGATATCATTCGATTTCAAACGGTGATGGTACTTGAAAGAATCGAATTACCTGTAATATCACAGCCATCGGTCCACTCGCGGCCGCGCTTTCGCCGCCGACCAAAGCCATCCCGATACCGATTCCTATCGGCGACACCACAGCAAATGTGCACGTGTAAATCACTGACAGATACGGCCTGGTTCGAGAAGCGAGCAGCTCCACGCCGATGCAAAAAGCTATGACAAATTTGTGGGACGCCACCGCGAGGAACATGTACCTGTAAAATTATCATAAAAACTTTTGTACTCGGCTCGAATTATTGTGTTACAATAAAAATAAAATATCGACGGCAATCGGAGCCCCCTCCGATAAAAACTTATTATTGTAGCGGAAGAACAATTTTTTTAATCGTGTTTGTAATGTTTGAAATATCAAATTGAGAGGATAATTATTAGACAAAAGAACTTCGATCATAGACTCAAAGTTACTTTTATGGATATAATTTGTAAAAGCTCTTTAAAAAATTAATCAACAATTAAAAGGCAATAAGAGCTAATTAAATTCTATCAATTAGTAATTTATTTGTGAAAGAAACTATAACATATTACGTTACGAACGAATTTATTTTAATTTTTGTCTGTTATTTAATATGTTATACTTTCTTTCACAAATAAATTACTAATTAAAAAAATTTAATTAGCTCTTATTGCCTTTTAATTGTTGATTACTTTTATGGAATTTCGGATGAGAGAGCCAAAAACTCTGTCTATGAGGCTGATAATGGTGCCTTTTTTATGGCAGAGAGGGTGCTGCGACTCGAAGTTTAAATATCTTCCTGAATACGTCGGCTTATGAAACAAATCAAACTCAATGCTCCCATTGTTCACAATAATGGTGACGTCTAAAAAATTCAATCGGTTGTCAACCCCCTTCTCCATGGTTAACTGCAATCTC